CCCCAAAACCCCAAAACCCCAAAACCCCAAAACCCCAAAACCCCAAAACCCCAAATTTAATAAAAATAGTTGGAATTTAGATCAAAATATAATAGAGATGGTATCGAAGTTGGATGATTTCGAAGTTGACTGAAAACTGGGGGAAGGAGCTTACTCAAGTGTGTATAAGGTCAAGAGGATTTCTGATGGTATGATTTATGCACTGAAGAAGGTGCGGATGATGAACTTGTCGGCAAAAGAAAAAGAAAATGCTCTTAACGAAGTACGAATTCTTGCTTCAATCAAGGATACAAATATTATTAGTTATAAAGAGGCTTTTATTGATGAGGAATCAAGTGCTTTGTGCATTATAATGGAATATGCTGATGATGGAGACCTATTCCAGAAAATAGTTAATCATCAGAAGAAAGGAAGCTGGTTTTAAGGAAAATTATATTTGGAAAATATTTATTATGGTAGTAAGAGGCCTCAAAGCTCTCCATGATTTAGACATCATGCACAGAGATTTAAAAAGTGCTAACGTCTTCTTAAACAAAGACGATACAGGGAAGTTAGGTGATATGAATGTCAGCAAGGTTGCTGAGAAAGGCCTTAGTTATACCCAAACTGGCACTCCTTACTACGCCAGTCCTGAAGTCTGGAGAGATGAAGCATATGACATCAAAAGTGACATTTGGTCTCTAGGTTGTGTTCTTTACGAAATGATAACTCTTAAGCCTCCTTTCAGGGCTGAGAATATGCAAGGGCTTTATAAGAAAGTGCTCAGAGGTAATTATCCGAAGATTTCGAAGCAATATACACCTGAAATTCAAGGAATCGTCAAGCAACTCCTCCAGGTTTCTCCCAAAAAGCGGCCAAACTGCACAGAAATTCTTGCTAATTCAGTGGTTAAAAAGAAAATAAAAGAAATATTCCCAGATGAAAACTACGATGATGAAACAGAGACTGAAACTTTGAAGAATAGCTTGTTGAAGACGATATACTTCCCAAAAGACGGTCAGGATATTCTCTATCTAACTGACAAACTCCCTAAACCTTCTTATGACACAGACTTAGAGAAGATAGTTGACATCCATAAGATGTCGAACAGAACCAGGGCTACTTCAGAGTCTCCAAATTTTCCCAACCTTCCAAAGGACTCGATAAATCTCCCTCAGAAATACAAAAAGCCTAAGGAGACGTCAATGAATAAATCTAATATTTCTGAAACTGCTGAAGGCACAGAGCTCCCAGCGACTAAGCTAAAGAAGGTTCTAAACTCTGATAGGAAGGAAGAAAAGAAGGCAGGCAAGATGCCTGAGCTGATATTGCCTTCTTACCATAAGAATCCTTCCAAAATGACCAGCGTTGAACGTATCGCTAAGAGGTTAGAGCTTGAATCTCAGAAAAAGCCAGTTATGAATATTGATAAAGAGTATAACAACCTTCAGCGTATTTTGGGCAAGAAGCAACAAGATCTTGGTAACGACTCCTCTAGGGTAAAAATTCTCCCCTGATAGTTTAGATTTCGAAGAAAATAGCAATCGAGAAGAACAAACTCAAAAACAGTTCTCTGCAGGAGCATCCTAAATACTTAAGAGAAAGACCTCTTTATAGCAACAGAGGTCAGCCGAAATACCAGAGGCCCTCTCATAATTCACAAAATAGGTATGGTGACGAGGCAAATAAGGCCGTACTTAACCTTGGCATCGTTGGTGAACAAGTCGGCGCCTCCTCTGCTCGGAGGAGTGGCAAGGGCAATTCTTTAGATATGAGACTCCCCAAGATCGCTGATGGTATACTAAAGAGCAAAGGAAAAGCCCCTAAAGGTCTTCAGAAGAGCATAAACACCTTAAAACTTCCAAAATTGCAGAAATATAAGCATGGAAAGTACTATGCAGATAATGATAAGATCTATTCAAATAAATATTCAAGTAAGTTACCTATCGGCCATCACTGAGCCTAAATAAAATTTCCAAGATTTTATAAGCTTAATTTGCTCATGTTTATCTAGATATCATCTCAAAGAAGCCTTCCAAATCGTACAGATACAAGCATGGAGGAAAGGCACCAAAAGAAGCCCAAAAGAGAGATAAGACAATCGATAGGCTTAAGATGTATAAGGATTAGGGCATTTAGGAAACCACAAACAGCTCCCTTAGTGGGATGTTATATATTTTTCTTGATTCAGTACAAAATCTTTATATTGGGGTTTTGGGGTTTTGGGGTTTTGGGGTTTTGGGG